ATGGACCCCAATAAAAAATGCCTGCACTGTTTTTTTTACCTAAGGTCATCTCAACAACTTACAAGGATAAGGACTGTAGCTACAAAATAATGCCTATGCCCCTCTAGCCCCCTTAGCACCCCCCATATATGTCAGACCATAAAACCAGTGCTTTTGGCCCTCCTCCTCACTCCTCCATTATGGGCAATTTTCTTTTCCTTATCCATGTTTCCAAAACAGTTTATCTTTTTATCTCCTTGGAAGAAAAGTACTCCGCAAATCAAAGGTATCATTAGTATTGTTATTATTTTGCCATTGAAATCTCTTCAATTCGCTCTGGATTATTCATGTGCTTTTTTGGGTCTGCAATATAATGCTGCCTAAGTCACCCCCACTGGGCTGAACAAAAAAGAGAAATTGCATCTTCAGGCCTAATCTCCTGCTCCACCCCATCTCCTGCTGGCCCTGGCTTCCACCAACACAGGCGCACACCAGGCAGGGCTGCTCCTTGGTACCATGCCTAGCTTGTGGCTGCCTGTTCCAAGCCAAATCCTTCTCTGTACACCCAAGAGGGGGACCCCATGGTATCCTCTTAGAGCAATGTGAATGCCTTGACCCCACCCCACCCGTCCTTCCCCTAGGGAGCTTCTTTTCCATCCTCAATAGGTCTGGCTGGCAACTGAGGACTCCCTACTGAGACATAGACACGCAGCCACCCCCATTTCCAACAGACATGCCCCAGTTCCCCCACCCGAAGATCTGTTAAAGAAGTGGTCCCACACCCTTGGCAGCTGTGCATTGACCTTCCGGCACAAAAGAACTGATTCTTCTTCCTCTAGACAAGACGTCATCCCACTTGGGGTTCTGGTAGGAGGGAGAAACACACATTACTTCCCTCATCTTTTGTTTTATGGCATTTCTGAGCGAGTGTAAGTGTTTCCAAAGTTGCTGTTCACTCCCCACTTTGTTTCCTGATTCCTTCTCTGCCTGTACCCTCTATGATCGCTCCATTCCTTAGGCCACCTCTGATGTGTTCAGGCTCTCTTCCGATGCCTCCCCCACCTTGGCCCTCCCAAGGGAACTCCTTGCTAGTTCAAGCCTCTTGCAGTGGCTCCTCCCTTTCCATGCTTCTTGTCATCTCCATGGCTCCCTTTACCCTGGCTTGCTCCCTCCACTCACTCTGTTTTACCTTTCTGTCTACTAGACACCTTTCTATTCCCTAGGAGATTCAGATCACCATGACCCTCTGCCCTCTGCCAGCCACTGACAGCCCCTTTTGGTGTTCCCAGCCAGGCAGGAGAGCAAGTGGGCTGCTTAGATTCTTCCCAGTAGGGAGATGGTACCTCAAATGCATCCTTAGCCCAGGGATGCCATTAACAGATCAATGCAAGTTTTCACTTTTACCCCAATAGAGTACTGTGTGCATGCAAAGCCAAGATATCTGGGTTCAGCAGAATTAGAACCTTCAGAACCGCAAAATCACAAGGCAGGCAGGACACTCTAGGAATGCCAGAACAAAATGCCAGAGAGCAAGGGAAAGAACACCTTTCTTACGAGTGTCTGGAGTAGAAGGTGCCAAGTTCTTGCTACTGTGTCTCCCCTGTCTCAGAAGTGGAGATCGGAGATCTCCCTGGAGGCAGGGAGTCATCAGTCCTCTAGGACCTTATTCCCTTCAAGCTACCTAAGATGTGCATGTGCAGGCTGGATGGGATGGGGCTTGAAGCTTAAGGAGGGCATGGAAGGAAATAGCTGTGGCTGAACTGAAATGATAAAAGGGAAAAAATATAGCAAGTTCTAAGTTTATGGATGACAAGATAATCGATTATTTTTTCACTCAGGGGCAGAACATGACTATTCTCAGCAGGAGGGAAATTGTGCTGTGACATTATCCCTCTTTGAGCAAAGCACAACCGTCCTGACAGCTGAGGGAAGAGGTATCTAAAGAAAGGGAGAAGCCCACAAACAGTACACACTGGCAGCTCTCCATTCCCTTGTTGGGAGCCAGGCCCAGGGACACTGGCAGGGGTGGAATCGGGAGGAATGTTATTTAGCCTTACTACTGCCACCTTAAGAAAGATAAAGAAATACTTGATCTCAATCTACATGAAAAGCCCAAACTTTCAAAGAATAGGGACCCACCATATTACTGATATTAATTATATGTTGATTTCTGTTCTCTGTCTCTCTAAAGGGTTATGAAAAAAAGTAAAGGTAAATAAATATTTGACAAATTAGGAAGAAAAGGATGACTGGAACGGACTTTAAGAGTTTATTTGTATCTTGAGAGCACTGCTTGGAGCACTCTCTCTGCACGGGGACCAGGATACTGGGAGCATGGAGCTGGGGAATCGTGTTCCCAGAAACTCCTCAGTGCCACGCAGATTCCCACTGTGAGAGGTGTTGGACAGCAGATGGCCATGTCATCGGAGTGCCAGATAAGGCACTAAAAACAACCCTGGACATTTGTTGTCTCTGAGGGAAAGGCCATCCCCTGAGTCTCTTTACATTTCCTGGGAGAGGCATCCCAGCATGCAGGAGGCAGGGGTCAAGCAGGTGGCTCTGTGAGACTGCCAGGTAGGGGTGTAACCTCAGACCTCAGTTCGGGGCATGAGAGTGGAAGCCATGTAGAGCCATGTGGGCTGGACCTCCTATGACCTGTTAGACATGGATGCGTTCTATCCAATAAGTTGATGAATGCATGACACTGGGTAGGGGTGGGGCACAGTACATGAACTAAGCATATATGTGAAGATGGTCAAATAGAATCCTCTGGGGAATTCATAATGCTCAAAACAACACCCACACAAACAAATGTCCACAGATCAAGGCAAAAGATAACCACATCATATTGCAGTGAAGTCCATAAAACACCTTCTCACTTGATGGCTTGACCCCTTTATTCCTGTAGTCAGAGGCTGTCTATTCAAGAAACACACCATGTACAGGGATGCAGGGTATCTGACCAGCCATGTCCACTTGGGTCTCCTAATCTTTGTTTAGACCTGTTTTCCAGCCTCTGGACAAGGTATCTACCATTTGGTAGGGTGGACAGTGACGGCCAAGCTCAGAATACTCCAGGAGCACAAGGCATTAAGAACTGCATGATGTTATGGTTTCTTCCTAGCGCTCTCAGGACTCGGGGTAGATAAAATAGAGCATTTAACCTCCATAGATAAATATTTAAAGATTCACATGAAGCAGTCAAGAAACATCTCCAGACCAAGAAAGAAGTAAGCACAACAGAAGATGTACACTGTAATGATTCAGACAGCCACAGGGATACTTAGACACCTATAGCCTTCTTATGCCAATCTAGGTAAGTAGCAGGGATCAAGCTTCTAAACACAAAAAAGACTGATTAGAGTATGCACTGGTCCCATGCAAATGTGAGTTTGTGTGTTTATGGGGGGTTGGTTGGAAGATTCCCTCCTTCTCTCAGGGGTTCTATATTGAAACTTCCTGAGTGAACTAGTAAGAAGCAAAGAATGGGAGTGAGTGAGTGTGTGTATGTGTGTATGTGTGCTCATAAGCAAGCACACACACATGCAAGAAAGAGGGTAATCTTACAAAATGGTGATATAACTGAACCTGTCTTTATACCAGTGTTCTGAGATAGTTCTTATTCATTCAGCCTGAAACTCTGGGGAAGGCAATTTATCTTCCTGCTGCTGTAGGGAGCCCTGGTGAGAAGCACACAACCATATGAATATATGAGAGTGTGTGTGTATGTGTACATACATTATTATCATTATACACAGGCATTAGTATGCACATACAAATACGAAGAAGGGGCCCCTTTGGTTTCATGAGGAGGGCCAGAAGCAAAGTTTGAATTGCACAGATAAGGAGAAAATCTGCAGTGACCACAAGTACTGGTGGGAGAACAGAAGAAGGAAGCCAGGTTTTTGCTTACATTTGGCTTCTCCCCGACAGGGGAGAAACAGAAGACATGCTGTTTGCTTGCAAAGCCAGCCACCCTTGGAGGTGCTTTGCTTTCTCGAAAACTTTTACCCTTCATTTAATCAACAGATGGACGTGCTCTGTTGTGGATTTTTTTCTGAGAGTCTTGCACCTCTAAGAGCTGTGTTGGCTGGCATAAATGCAGCCTCAGATGGCAGAGGTGCATTGGCATTCCAAAAGAGTGGGAAGGAACGCATGTACTTGCCCCTTCAAACTCAATTCCACAGGTGACTTTTGATGCCTTTCTCTAAACAGGCACTCACATTCCCTCTCCCGAATTTCCCTCTCCTTCCTGCACCACTACCAGCCCCAGGGCTCCCAGTGGCAAGAAGCCTAGAGGTGGCAAAGTTCTTTCTGGAGAGTCCACCTGCTTCTCTGCCCCTGCTAGGCTGCAGAAAGGAAACAATCAGCACCACGGGCGAAATTTCATTTTATACCCTGAATTCAGTGCTGTGTAGGATTCAGAATTCAACCTAATTTAGAGAACTCATTGACGTTCAATGAAACTCTTTACAAGCTTTTCCCAACCACTGCAAGTTACCCCCCACAATGCATTCTGTAATTGCAACCCCCTTTTCAACAGTGCAAACCACACACATTCGCTTTCGAATACACTTGTGCAAGTCAGACCCTATTCAAGCTGAAATATTCACCTAAACCAAGCTCCCCCTCCCTGCCATCTCCTTCCCTGGCCTGGGTCTGAAGGAGAGGAGGTGCCCAGAAGTTCAGAGTGGCATAACCACAGAGATACTACCTAATTAACATACCAGAAGCATAAAGAACTCATTTGCATTGGAGAGTTTGAGCTGGATATTGACAAGTGAAAGGAGAAAGTCATTCCCCTCCCCTCCCATACCCCTTCTTTCCAAAGGAAAATAAACAGTACCATTTTGTTGCATTTGCAAAGGCAAAGAGGCAATGCCAGGGCATCTCAGCCCGGCACCGAGAGACGCATCCATCAGTCCGAGTTCCCGAAGCCTGCCCACATTCCTGCCCACAGCCTCCCGCGCCCTGACAACCCAGCCGACTTTCTTCCAACTCCAGCAGCGCAGGGGTCCTACCTTGACTGAAAAGGAAGAAGCAGATGAAGAGCAGGTCGAGCTGGAAAGGTTTCATTCCTTAGCGCAGCGAAGGAAAGCCGGCGGGGTAACTTGGGTATGCAGTTAGTTTCTCTGCCTTGGCGGCTCTCGGTGCTCAGCCTCCGCCGGTCCTCTCGGGTTCGCGCCTACCATCTGTCCGTCCGTGGGTCCCTCCGGGTGGCTTCGGTCTCTGTGCCTCTGGGTATCTACAGCCAGCAGACACAAACTGCCTGTTTTCAGCCGCCTCGGGAAGCCGGGATTGTCAGCAATGTCCCCACTCGGAGCAGATCCATTCTCTGGCTCTTGGCATCCCAGGCACACGGCTTCCTCAGGCGGGCTCCTCCCACAGTGAGCGAGCGAGCTAGTGACGAGTGACAGAAGGACTCCTTTCACTGAAGCTGAGGCGAGGGGAGAGGGAGGGGAGACAGGTCATAATTAAAGAGGAAACAGTCGGAAAAAAAGAGATCTATGCAAAACGGACAGTGGGGGAAAAGGCTGTGTTCTTTCTTTTCCCTAAATAGGGAAAAATTCAGCTTTTGTCGTCATTATTGACCAAAAGGCATCTTGAGCTTGGAGCGGAGCTGTGACTTTTTGTCCACACGGCGTCCTGTTTAACAGTGAAATTAAGGATGGGTATATGCATGCATGTGCACAAAAACATGCATGCCCTGCCTTTGCACAGGAACTGGAAACTGGGCTGAAAGGGAACTAGGAAGGGGGGGTGTGCATCTTTCCCTAGGAAGGACTTGGCCAATGTGTGCAGCGGGAGGCTCAGAGTTGGAGGAGAGATAAGCATGCTTTGCATTTCTGAGAGTTTCCTGTGGGTGGGTGGGTGGAGGGGGGGAGGTAGGTAATAAAACCTGAACATTTGGATCTTAGTTTGCTTTGCACTGCTCCTGGAAGACAAAATGCAGGAACTAAAGGAAAGGCAAGTAGGTTTGTGACACACACCCATTTATTATTATTATCCTGGTTTGTGCATTTCCTAACGAGGACAGGAGAGCAGCCTGTCTTTGCATTCAGAGCCTCTCTAATGAGCGCTCCATCACTCTGAGCCTGTGTTTTCTCCAAGAGGTGCTGTGAGTCCAATTGCGAAGGAGAGGCCAAGGTCATAGGCAACCGCTTCCTAAGGATCTTCAAGTCTTTTACCTGTCATGAAATTCACACTCCACTCTCAAATCAAACTCGATTTCCTCCAGGATACCAACATGAATTTATCTGGGTCTATTTACTTAATAGACATTTAGGCATGCTTGGTATAAACAGGCCATGGAGGGAAGTAAAATAATAGGCACAGACCATGCCTTCAGAAGCTCATAATCTAGTGTGCAAGCAGAGCATACACAGAAGATACAAACTCTAAGGACGTAGCAAAGCAACACAGAAAAATATTCAATGTTATGCAGTGTGAGAAAGAGAGGCGAAGGGAGAGGAGAGGAAATGAAAGAGGCTCCCCTGACATGTGCCATTTAGCGTTCAATTCTAAAATCAATCATTGCTTTCTTCAGTCCCTGGACCTTGGGGAGGTCTTCTGGAAACTCTGAGCCTTTCCTCCTTCAGTAGCACACCTTCTGAGGACTCTGCTGACTACCAGGCACATTCCAACTCCAAGTTTCCATGCGAATGTTAACTTTAAGAAATTATCCCTTGGTATTTGTGAACAAGAAAGAAAGAAGCAGAGGCATATAGAAGTGTGCTAGTAGGAGCTGATACCTGGTAGTTGACACCAAAGATCTACAAATTGGTAGGTGTCTGCTTTGTTGACTTTTCTATTCTTAACTTAATAGTTTATTTAACTGCATCGCTTAGAGGTTGTTAAACATATCAAAGGGAAATTTGTAAGCAAACTTTGGTGGGGGGAGAAAAAGAAATGCTGAGCAACAGAAGCTAAGAGGACACAGAAGAGGCAACCCATTAGCTAAATTAACAAACAAGTTACTGAAGCAGTGTCAGCTCCGCCTGAGTCCATTAGCCTGGTATAAGAGATCATGCAATAAATGGAAGAGGCAAATCAGAAACACACACAGGAGATGAGGAATAATTTTCAAGAACATATGCCAAATAACACATTAAGACTGAACATAACTATGTATAGCGCCGTCACCTTAGTACTAGGTTTCCATTAAGCCTGTGGGGTTGTTGGGGAGAAATTTCAGGTGTCTGCGTGCCATTCTTGCAGTGAATAAGATACATATTAGAATGCAGATTCTTCATCAAATTTAGCAACATTTGATGTTTTAACTAAAGATTTATCCTTTAAGCTGTTGTTTAATTTTGAGTGCTAATTCCTCAATGGCCCAGGGACCAGATTTGCTTAATTCGGCCCCAGAGGGAACTGTTACAAAACCAGGGTCACAAGGCTAGTGAAGTGTGCAATACGCAATAATCAGGCACACGTACAGGCGTGCGCACTCCACACTCGCACTCACTCTTGGAAAGAAGAGGGGGGCCTGGGAGATCCGGGTTGGAAGGATCTTGTTTCGCTCTCCCGTTGGTCCCCAACACTGGCCTCATGGCCCCCTTACTGGCTCCAGGTACCCCCCTCACCCCCACCGCCCAGCCAGCTGGGCCTGTTCCCCTCTCCACTCCCCTCTGCTCCCTCCCTGTAACCTCCGGTCTCCGGCAGAAAGAAAAAAAAAAAAAAGCTTGGATTAAGTGATGAGCTGCCCGCCTCTAAAAGGACCAGGAGGCATCTCAAGCCTGAGTGCCGGAAAACCCACGGCAATCTTAGGCAGCCACCACGTGGGGCAGAGAACGCGAGCAGTACCTGCAGGACCCACAGCCGGTCGGGCTCTGGCGCCAGCCCCGACGGCGGCCCCGCCATCTCCGCCCGGCTGCCCGCGGCCTCACCTCCTCCGGGGGCTCGGTTAGCCTCCTGGCGCTGCAAGGCTGCCTGCGCGCGGTTCGCTCCCGAGGAGGGAGGAGGAGGGAGACGGCGAGGAGCCGACGGCTCCACCTGATGGAGAAGCGCGGAGAGTCCCTAGACCTCGGAGTGCGCTGCAAGAGGGGAAAGGAGAGAGACCGCCGCCCCTGCTGGAAGCCTTCGCGTCTGTGGGGCGGCGCGCGGGGGACGGGGTCTCTGGGGACAGTCGGTGGAGGCGGCAGCCCTAAAGAGACAGCCGAAAGCCAGCAACTTGGAAAACCGCCCGAATTCCGGTTTTCTGCACATCCAGGCTGGCTCCAGGTCTCTTGAGCCCACCGTGCAAGCCGGTGGGATGCCAGCAGGTGGCATCCTCTCCAGCGTTTCTTCACCAGGCGTGGAGCCCGGAGGCCGAATCCATCGGTCCCCAGCCCCCTCCCCAAGCCTCCAGTGCCAAGTGCTGTGTCCTGTGAGCCCCTGGCCCCGCCCCCCACCTCCGCCAGCAGGGCGAGCGGGAGCAGGGTGGCCCAGATGGAGGCGGGAGCCTACAGAGGAGGGCGGCCCGCCCCAGGTTCTGCTGCTGGCTGGCCAAGAAGTGAAAAGTGAAAGGAGGGCAAGGCTCCCCCGGACAGCTTCCAAGCCCTGCTCTCCTGCTCTTCCAAGCCTTGCTGCCTGGAGGCAGTAAGTTGCTCCCAGGGTTTTCTGAGATCTGGGACGAAGAGAGTGATGTGCAAGGTTCTGGGTCCCGGTGCAAGAGTGAGGGGTACGGCTGTCGAGTGCTCTGAGCAGGCTGGCATTCAGGCACACTGCAGACCTCAGCTCACCGCCACTTTCTCCTGACTTTCCTCGTAGCCGTCAGCCCATTGTCTAACATGTGTTATTCCCTCAGTTTGTCCAAAGGCCTGTTTTGGATACTTAAAGACATGGGGAATGACTGTGAGAATTCCTGTTCCTGGAAAGTTTATCCTCTAATTGGAAAGAGGTATATACAGGTGTGTATGTGAGAAAAGATTATAAAACATCTCAATGGCATTTTAATAAGAGAAATTGCCCTGGATGGCATCTGCCTGGGCCCTTCCTTTCCATTAGAGATGCATCCTTCTAGGTTAGCTTGCTTGGGGCCCTGCAGGAAAGCTGCAGGCTGAGGCAACAGTCCAGGGCCCCCATCTGGGCCCAGTGTCCCTACTGTCCTATCCTTCTCCATCTCCCCCACAGCCATGCTGGCCAGGCTTCCTGTCACAGTTATTCCGTGTTCATGAGACACCATTATCACCAAGGAGAGGGAGCGGCTCTTTTAAGAGACGGGCAGTCATCATGTACAGAGAATTTCCTGTTTAATGCCTCTTCACAGTATTTGTTGCAGAGATACATTAGAAACCACATTCCCTTTTTGTTTTTCATATATCCTGCCAGTACTGGTTAAACCTCTTTTGTCCAGGAATTTAACACATTTTGAACAGCCTCCTACTGGGAGTTCAGGGTAACCTGACTCTCCAGTTGTAGGTAAGTTAATAGGGACTCCAAGCTCCGTACACTTCCAGAGAGTCGTCAGAGGTCCTCGCTGGGTGGCAGCCTTTATGACCTGGGCAGTCACAGTCTTCTGGCCTATTTCTTTTTCGTTTATCTGAAACAGATTTCTTCCTTACTTCTGTGAAGGTGGATTACGAGACCTTAACCCCTGTTCCCTGCAGTTGGTCTTTCCATTGTAGAGGGAAAGTATCAGAGGACCAGATATTCAACTTTCAGAAGCATCCCCCAAAGGGCAGGGTGTCTGCTCCCCTGATTCATCAAGGATGAGGCCTCATGGAGGGAGTCTGGTGAGCCTTTTGATGTGGTGCTGGCCTGGCCACTGCTAACCATTGTAGCCCTTTAATGAATCTGGGCACACCTTTCTTCATCTATTAAATGACTGGTTTGAGCCAGTGGATCTCCAGGATTCCTCAGAATCCTAAAATCCCATTGTCTTCTGTTCCAGAGGTCACACCTTTCCTCATGCAGACATATGGAAGTGCTCTTTAATGCCATCAGGGTTAGGGCAGATGATTTCAAGTGGTGGGTCACCATCCCCAAGGAGACAAGTGAGCAAGTGACAATCCTGAGATCTGCGTGGACCTCTCTGCTGTGATGGGTTCTGACTTTTCCTCAAACTGCTTCGTGTTCATTCTACTCAGTCTGAGAGCCCTCAGTCTTTCCCCAACTTACTGAACTCATGTCTTTCCCTTGTCTCCTTGTTTTCCCTAGAACCAGACTCCACATCCAGACTTGGTTCTGGGTTCCAGAACAGACTTCCTTCAACATACGTTCTACAACCATGTTGGATGCAAAATGCAAACATTGTGTTAAAGTAAGAGTGGTGATGCCAGAGTGGCTAACTGGAAAAGACTTCCTTTAAAGGGAGCGAGGACAAAGATGCCTTGTATTTCTTGTGTCTTAATGTGAATCACACTTTACGGTAAAAAGTGTCTAATCCTGTATTTTCTCTGGTACCCTGGCAGCCCCATGAAGGTAGGGACAGCACCTCTCTAGTTCACAGCTGTGTCCACAGCTCTTATCCAGGTAAGCAGTAGGCTCTCACTACATACTGTTGAATGAATAGTAAAGTTTTACCTAGTGCCCCACATCCTATTTCCTGTTTTCCTGTTTTCCGAATCCAATTTAACTTATTCTTCCCTCTGTTATTAAACCATTGTCAAACATCTGGCATGTGCCTGCCACTGCTCTGGCTGTATTTTATGAGGATGGGTAATGAATTGAGCCTATATATAGTTTGCAAAATGTGGAACACACTTTAAGAGGCATGGCACTAAAGAAATGAAAGATATTTTTATCTCTTCAGCATCATTCTGCACAAGGATACAATTCTCTAGCAGCACTGTTTAAGAACAATAGACCTGTTTAGCCTTGACACACTCATGCATGCAG